ACGTATTGACGGCCCCGGTGAGTGTCCCTGAGGAACACCGGCGTAACTGGAGAATACCGTATTAAAATCAGCTGAATTTTTGGTGGAGTTGATTAAATAAAAAAATCAATAAAGTGAAATTATCGTCCTCCACATAATATGAGGTGCTAATTCTACTGCAAATATGCGAAGATTATAATCGTTAAGCCCGCTATAGTTAAAGCAAGATATAACTGTTGCCTTTTGGTGGAGAAAGTCCTTCAAATCCAAGAATTCTGTTTTTTAACCGTCGATCACTTCGCAAAGCGCTAAATCACTAGTAATGCTGTTGCTAAGATGCACAATTAAATTTATTTCAAAGTATACAAAGTATCTCAAAAAATAGTTCACAACAAGTGTGATCCTGATGATACGTACAGAAATATTTTTGGATCTTAGTTTCTGTGATAATAGAAAAATATGCTCTACTATGGAGGATATATTGGAAAGGTCAGCAGTCTATCTACATCTTAGGTTCACAAGATTCTACGACGTCTTCCGATTCTCTGTCTTCATTGCTCTCAGTTTTCTCATAAATTTAATCTGCTTTCTTTTTCCTCTCCAATTTCCTTCGGCCTTCCGTTTTTTCTGCGCCCCTGTCGAGGTATTCGCTTAGGGAAGACCTTTGTCAGTTATCTTTTGTGGGCATGTACAGAAGATACTATATATACTAAATGTTTTATTTTAATGTAGTCCATGTCATCTCTTTTTATCTTTCTTTGGGCACTCCATTTTAGGCTTGTCTGCGGTACGCCTCCAATAGTCCATTTCAGTGGCTCTAATTTGTCTTCCGGCTGTTTCTTTAATATGCCATACTTCGCTGAAATACGTAACGACACTTTTTCTTCTCACTTCTGTAAAATGTCCAATTATACACCGATTAAGCGTGCGGAAAGAGTCATTTTACCACGGATATCTTTGGTGATTTTACCGCACGGCTTGAATTTTGACGTCTGACGATCATGGCAGTGAATGTATTCGTGTTGTTTTGCAAAAATGTACCAACAAACCAGAAAACGTAGAAAACTGTAGCACGCAACACGTTTGTTAAACTTTTTAGTCATTATTAAGCACTCGATCCGCTGCGCTCCACTTGTCCCAAATAAACTCATGACCAAAATATGCTTTACTACTACAGCTTTGAATATTCTTTGTTTGTAATGTACCATATCCTGGATGTGTTCCAGAATTTATAATAATAAAATGTCGTATATCAACGAAATTTTTTTTTAAAGAAGCATGATCACTGCAGTGGTAATGTAAGTGGCATTTAGCGGCAACTTCAGATAGTAGTGATAATTTAGTGTAGGTACACAGATCCACTATTTAAATCAGTTTCCGGCCTGGGATTAAAGTATGTTATGAAAACAGAGCATCCCAAACGCTAACGGAAACGACAGCCAAAAGTATAGATAATGGAATTGGTTAGGCAGAAGTAAATCCAATAAAGGCTGCGCGAGTATAAATCCTAGCGTGTATAAATATTTAAAATCGTCATCCGAGATGAGCGCGAAAGAAAAAACTGGGCTGGCATATTTCTTCGTTTCTGGTTACCATTAACCTGCCGACTTTTTAAGGGGAATTTATACTTTGCGGGAAATAACGTTGTCGCCCTCGACAAATTGGCCATCGCGTCTCAGCGACGCGCGTATTTTAAAACTGAACTTGGAATCATCCTTACGCGAGGAATCACCACGTCGCGGATGAAGTTGCGCTCATAAGTTGTCCAAAGTTTCGGAGTTCATCATTAAATTAAATTAACTTCTCTCTGGTGATAAATGTTTCCGCTCCATAAGAAATGATTTAAGATTCATTGTCTCTTTGGCACCACATAAGGTTTTCGTTTGTTACTTTTTTTCTGTCAACAAAAATTCCACTGGAAAGCCATTATTTTAATAAAAATTCTGTCTGTGAAATAGCTCAATGAAATGATAAATTGTAGCACTTTTAGTTATTAAGCAATGTTCATATCGGAATCAAAATTATATCTTACGTTTGTGAGGATTGAGAAGTCCAGACAGTACAGTCAATCTAATCTGGAAGAACTACGGCATGACAGAAAAACGAGGCAAATTTTTAAAATATAAAACCAAGGCTATTTGTTGTGTTTTTCTCTCCTTTGTTTACATTAATGAGGAATGTTGTTTTCCCTCAGTTTAACTACTTTATTTACTTAATATAATTACTAAATTTATAGTATAATGAATTTTTAATAAACCCCAGTATAGTAGCAGTATTAAAAAAATATTAAATACACATGTACTAGTATTTGCCTAAGTTGGCAATACATTGTCTTGTTATACAAATAATAAACTCAAACTCAATTTTTGCATTTATTTGTTTATAAAACAAAATCAGATCATGAAATATGCAATGCAATGTGCAATACCCAAGCAAACCCATTAAAAAAGTTAGTTAAATTTGTTAGTTATATACATATATACACATAACACCTTTTAAATAAAATATTATATTTGTCATATTGTGCTACATATGAAGGTATATATTTTTTTTATGAAGAGAAATCCTATTTGTGCTACAAAATAAAAATTAAATTTACTTGTTTTTACTTATTAAAGTAACAATATTATTATTTTTCAAAAACGCATCTTTGTTGAACAACATGTATACGAGTATATTAAATACACTTTTTATCGTCTTTTTTATTGCAATTTAATTTTAAGAAATTTTATTGTACAACAATAACCAAATAAAATCCTCAAAACTTCAAAATAAAGGTATAAACACGTCGGCGTCGAAAATATTTTCACATTCAAACGCCCATCAATCCCGCCGATGGCGCATGAGAACTTAGTGTTGCTTTACCGAAGCGAACGCTTTTTAAAAAGCTTTAATTTTTCATAAGGTGCCGTTTTAATGAAAATACGAGACGTTGGTGCGTTAAAAGGGCCGAAAAACGCGCTCAAAAATGCCCGGCAGAGTGTCAAAACAAGACAATTTATTACGTAAAGATTTATAACGAAATCGAATGGAGATGAATGAACAACTTCGTTTATCATCTTTACGACTTTCGATAATCAAGCAAACGCATCGACAAATATTTTTCGTCCTGTATCTGCGCAAGATTTTCTTTTCTCTAAAACTGAGCATCCAAAGAATTAAAGAATATTTCAAGAACTGATTATTTGTTATTGACAAAGCTTATACATATAAAACACCAAGTTTTAACAAAGAAAAATGCAAATAACTATGACAAAATAAGTGTATAGCACAATTAGAACAAAAATATGTATATATAAAATAAGAATAAAAATTGTTGGTTCATGGTCTACAGAATTACAGCCTCCCATAATATAAAATTTCTTATTTCTATTCTAAAACATTTTAGAATAACATTAGAACAACGTGCCTTAGTTGTAAACCACTATGATTATAAATTTTACTACTGAATAAGAAAGTAGGATGGTAAAGCCAAAATTTTGTGAGTTTTTGACTTATTTAAGAGCAGCCGATACGCCACTAATGTGAACATTTTGAAACCATCGAAGACCTCTGCCGTGAAAGCCATACGCTTGAAGCTATGTCTGCAATATCCCGTGACTGACACAATCAAAAGGCTGTGACAGGTCACAGAGCACTGATGCTGCTGCCTCACCCCTTTTTATTCCCAGAAACACTCAGCCAAGAAGTCAAACATGACATCTGACTATTAAACTTTCAACCGATTTAGAAAGAGTTGACAAATTTGACTACCACAAAATTGGTCTTTAATTTGATGGATTTGCATAGTTCCCACTTTTGGGTAAAGGAATTACTTTAGTAATCTTAAAACTTTAAATGTAAATTAAAAGTCTTGCACAGGTGGTGAAAATTACTAGCGAGATACCGTAGTCGATCGATGCATTTTTATTATTAATAAAGTTCAATGTTGCAATAATATCTTCAGGCCTAGTAGAACGAAAGACACCTAACGTTTCTGATATATTAAACTTGAGAGTTACCCTCATGAGTTGATATTAGAATGGATAATGTTTGTCAGGTTATCAGCGATCGAACCGTAAAAATCACTGAGAGAGTTAGAATCTATATTTATATTTATTTATTTATTTATGTCAGATGTCAGATAGATGTTAAAATCAATGGACTGGAGGAGAGCCGGGTAGTTATAATTAATTTTTTTAAAGTTTCTATAAAACATCAAGATATCGGAGCAGGTTCTTCTATCCATCTATCATGAAAGACTGACATACCAGATCATAATTAACGTGATCGTTGTTGATATTTATACTGGCTTTATATGCTAGGGATCTCAGAAATGCCTTTTGAACAAGCTCCCATCTATCAATGTGACATCTGTAATGTGGAGACCACACTACCGATGCGTACTGAATCTAACTAAGGAATAATAAAGGTTTTTAAAACAATAGGCTGAGAGCAGTGTACTATTACGGGTAACAAAACCAAGACTCATCATGCCCTAGTTAACAATATCTTCCAGTTGACCAGAAAGGTCAGTCAAATATGACGCCAAGGGCCCTAACTCTATTGGTGTGTTGTTAATGATATATCTATTTTGATAAGTGTTAGTTAAGCGAGAAAAAGTAATCCTAAAGCACTTTCCAGATCCAGATCCAGACCATTTTCTCCGCACCGCAAACTGACATTATTAAGGTCGCTCTGAAGAAGAGCATCGATAAATGATTCTTTTTTTTTAATTTGAAGTCATCGGCAAATGCAGGATGGTCATAATACAGAACCACATCACTCTTATAAAAAAATTAAAGAAAACTGGACCTATGTGAGAACCCTGAGGGACACCTGAGTGCATCACAATTTTTCTGGAAATATAATTGTTGATTCGAACCTACTCTGCACCCTCTGTTAAACAGCTGTGACAAAATTCAGCCAGAGTACCACCCAGTATTAGGGCTGGAAACTCACAAACAAGATGCTCATGACTGACTTTGACAAATGTCTTTGAAAATTCCGTGTAGACACTATCCACTTGTTTAGACTACTCAAAAGCAGTCAACAGATCCTGCTGATAAGTGAGCACGTTAGTCGCAGTGGACTTATCCTGTCAAAAGAATATGTGTGACAACCAGTTTGGGTTTTCTCAGGATAAGTCCACTGCGACGACTTATCCTGAGAAAACCCAAACTGGTTGTCACACATATTCTTTTGACAATGAGGGGAAAAATGTGGTTGTTTTACTTATCTATGAGTTACCTCATTAAGACTCATGCTGCATATTTGAAATACCCTTTAGGGTCGTACAGTTTCTTCGAATTGGTCAATGATTTTTCCTGTAAATGAAGTGATAAAATTGATATGGCATTATAAAACATCATGTTAGATTTTTAACAATAATTGACATCGTCGCTAAATACGTTCGAGAATATTCTCTGGCACAAACAAATTTGTTTTTCTACTCCCGTCTGTAAAATACCAAATTATCCACCGATGTAGCGTGCGGGATTTTGCTTAATATTTCTCTTAAAAATTACGTCACGCGAGAAGTGTCACTTTACCACGTCAGTTTCGTTTCCCATGAATCCAAGCCACTTCGCACATTTTCTGACAAACGACAAAATGTACCCAAATACTTACGGTCGTAGAAAAAGTATAGCATGTCCGGTAAACTTTTTAACTGACTCGTTTAATAAAAACCCGCTCCGCTCGTGTCAAATAGACTCGTGAGTCAAATGGCGTTTACGTCCCTACTTTAAATTCTAGTTGCCAGTAAAAGTGTCTCTTCATTTTCTTCTTTAGTTTAAAGAAAAACTCTCGTTTATTCTATGTTTTGGTTAAATAGTTTTCCAAGTTAACGTTAATGGTATATACTTGATAAAGTTTTTCTTATCATTGACATTTTTTAAAATTAAAAGTTACCTAAAACATCTCAATCCATAGAAACGTCGATTTGACTATCTTTTTTTCGCTACAAATTAGTTCATCCCTTATGTCCAAAGGCATTTCTGACGTTCCCGAAGATATAAATACCGGGCGAGATGCGATCGTAATCGCGACCAGCTGCGCAGAAATTATTAATATTATTATTTATCAATATCCCTAGTTCACGGCAAACAAACCCAGCAATAAACACCCATAACGCTACGAAAGAATGTTTATCGGCGTATTAAGTGCCGATAATTATTGCCGTTAGTTAATATAAAATCGAAAATTTCATTTCCCGGTACTACTCGCGGTGCTACAAAAAGTGGTTCGGCGGCGGGCAATTAGCACGCTTGCGCCTATTCAGATGTTGACCTCGGGGCGTGGCAGAAGTCCCGTAGAAAATGTACGAGGTATAGTTTCGTTCAAATCATACCGTTCACATTTTGGTTGCCGTAAAACCGTAAACATAATCCCTTTCACTTTCTAAACCACAGACGGGACACAGGTATCTAATATGATCTTTACTAATTATTACATAGGCACAAGCTCCAAAACTCATTTTGTTAAGTTCAATTCTGAGAAACCTTGGTTAACCGGACGTCTGTTCAAACAAATAAAACATAAGAGAGCTCTGTGGCGTAGATTTAAGGCCTCTGGCTCTGCTTCCGATTATGCTTTGCACAGAAAAGTTTCTAATGGTTTATCCTTGGAGATTAGAGAGGCGAAGTCAGCATTCGAAAATGACCTCCTCAATCGGCCCAAAGCGTTTTATTCTTATGCCAGACAACACGTATCGTCTGAGGTATCCCTTCCTGTCATTAGAGATACCTCGGGCGAGATCTTTTATAACCAGGACTTCATTTCAAATGAATTTACTTCTTTTTTTGCTAGTGTCTTTGCTGACGAACCAGCTAATCTACCGTCTCACTATGAGGGTCCCATAAATGCAGATTTATTGGAAGACATTCACTTTGACCAAGAGGACGTGAAGAAAACTCTTTCTGAGTTAAAAGAATATTCTGCTCCCGGACCTGATGGAATTTCCAGTAAAATCTTAAAAGCGTGTGCCCCTGTGCTTGCAGAGCCTATTTATATTACTTTGAGAAAATCTTTGGACTCTGCCACACTCCCAACCCACTGGTTATCCGCAAATGTAACACCGATTTATAAAAAGGGTGATAAGCTCGATGTTTCAAATGACCGCCCTATCAGCCTAGTGTGTATTATATGTAAGGTTCTTGAACGCCTTATAGTAACACAGCTCCTACCGTTTTTGATCGACTGCCATATTATACCTACATCGCAGCATGACTTTGTTCCCGGCAGATCTGTCATATGAAATACATTGACATGCTTGAATCACTGGATCTCATCTCTTGACTCAGGTGATCCGGTGGATATTATTTACCTCGACTTCAGCAAAGCCTTCGACAGAGTGCCACATCGACGCTTGTTATTCAAACTTGAAAAGGAGGTAGTGGGGGGTAAACTGCTAGAGTGGATAGTCACCGGTCATTCAGAGTTCGAATTGGTAACGCTTTTTCAATGCCACAAAACGTGGTGTTCCCCAGGGATCGGTGCTGGGACCAGTGTTATTCTTAGTGTACACCATGGATTTGCTCTCCAGCATTGATTGTATATATAGCCAAGCCCATCAATTTTATTTTAATAGAACCCCCGTGTTTCTGTTTTACATCCACCCAATCGATGTCAAGGTTTTTAAAAATGTTATAACTTTGAGGAGGCACCCCTGCCGAGAAGTTTCCTCCATTTAATTTTAAGATTATTTTTATCAATAACTTTAGTATATTATGTACTATCAAACTGCATGCAGAGGTAAGAAAATATCCCAAACTCATGAATAAAAAAACCAGAATCAGGATCATACTACTAGAGGTGAGAGATTCCGTTTGCTTCTAGTTCAGGATCGGAAGTAAAATCCAGAGCGAACGAAGTGCATAAGAGACATATTTATCATCTATGAAGTTGTTCCAAGCTGCAGTTGTTGGAATAACCATGTTCATTAATAAACAAAAGGAGAAACGGTAGTAGGAAATGAAATGGGTCAATATACCTTTAGATAAGATGCGATTATAATGTATTTGGCATTGATAGCATAGGAAGTAGTAAAGTCGCATTACAACGTAATAACATGCCCTGCTAAGGTCAGCTCACCTGAACCTGAATCAAGACTACTAGATATCCCGTTTTCTTCAGTTGATGATCGCGAACGAAGTGTGGAGAGACGTGTTTTTCGTCATGGCTAAAGAATTTGCGGGATTATCTATGGGTTCTAACTTGTCATCTATGGAGTGGTTCTAAGCTGCAGTTATTGAAATAGTTATGTCAACAAACAAGTAAGAAGTAAAATGTGCCAGTATGTTTGTGAGTATTTGGAAAAAGAACCTGAATTCGGCCCTAGAGTTGTTGATCGGAAGCTAGATAGACAGCGAAAGAAGTGTGGAGATATATTTGATTATCTATTTGGTTTGGTCGATTATGGAGTTGTATCGAGGTGTAGCTATTAGAATAACTATGTCGACTAGCAAACAAAAGAATAAAACTGCAGTTAGACGTGAGATGCGTTAATGTGTGTTTAAATTGGTTTTGGTTAGTTAGGATTGGACTAAAATATAATAGAATTTGTGAAACTACTTAAAACAAAGTTTCGGCTAGTTATAAATACCGTACATATTTACAAATGCATTGTATAAAGCATATATAAAAGACATGTACAAAGACATTTAGAACTGCCCTATAGTTTTACGTTGGTGTTAAGTTTAAATTCAAATAATTTTTTGACTTTGTATTTGAATCTCGAAGCACTAACTGGATGCTTTTGGCTAGTTGGTAAGAGGGATTCTGCATAAATCTGTGTATTTCATGAAGTAGATATATTGACAAAGGGGTATAGTTTTGCAAGTACCGAGACCAAAAAGGTTTTCGGGACTTGGGGCACTAATTCTAGTTCCAGGAACTAGCTCCTAAAATCTTGGTCCCGAAATTCAAGATACATTTTAATTCCAAGTTATGGCATAAAAACAATTAAAAAGATGTATTTATATATTTTTATTTGATTATGCGAAATTCGCATTAGCAACAGTGTAAAAAACGATAAAAAATAAACAAAACAAAAACGTGCTCTTAAATAAAAATAATATAAAATATATTCTATCTAAGACAAATACGACAGATCAAATTTTAAATATTATTTTCGAAAATATGACATGCATGAAATGCCACAAGTGCATTTAAAGATCAATAACTCAATTTTGCAGCACTGTTGAAAATGCCCTTTCCGATTGAACACTTGTGGGTGGAATAGTTATTAAATATTCTTCACAATATTGTCGTTCCTAGCGTTGCGTCGTTGCTGTCACAACTACCAGCTTGTTATGATTATCCTGAAATTTTGGGACTTTTAAGAACTTCTCCATGGTCCAAGAGCCAAAATTTTTGGTTAAATCTCGAGACCATCCGGGACTGGAATATTTACAAAGGATTGACAAAATTCACAAATAGTAGCAATGTCGATGTTTCGTGTGAAAGTATTATTTAGTAGATTATCAGCAGAAAGACGTACTTAGTTTTCGTAGTTCTTGTTTTGGTTATAATTTTATATAAATATATTTTGCAAAGGACAACACACACCTTGAATTAGCTGAACTATTTCGCTTCGCATTTTCATCCTTTAGGTTTAGGTTAGTTAGAAGGTTACAATTTCAAATGAATAAATGCAGTACCCACAACTAATCTAACTAATCCTGCCGATTTGAAAACTATATCGGAACGACTCTAAAACATGAGGTCGGTGCAAATCGATTGACTAGGAGCGCTTTGGGAATCGATAGCGAAACATGTCAAACAATTTTTTTTTATCTTCGCGACGTCGGATTTATAACGGAGCGCGCGGACCTCTTGCGGCCGATACAGAAAATGCAAATCGCCGCGTCCAGCATCCACTTCCGCATAATAAAACTAAATTAAAGCAGGCAAACGGTCGGGATCGCTGATATAGCGAAGATCCGCGGCATTTACAGAACCGCTTAATTATGGTAATGAGTCATATTTTTCCCGACGGTACGTCACTAATTGGGACCAGGTGAAAAATCGGGAAGGGAAATTAATTTTATGGGACCCCGACGGCGACGCTCCTATCTGTACCACATACGTGCTTGATAATTCATATTTAATTGGTCGTCGTATACTTCGACGTCGGATGCGTAGGCAAACGGGCATCGATTTCATTTTTTTAAGACGATTTTCCGCTGCCGATTTTTT